GTCAGGAAAATTAACCGCATCGAAGCTTAAAACCGGGATATTTTATCAAAACCACTTTATTCTACATGTCTTGTTTAAATATTTTGCAAAATAAAGCATTTCTCATAACCAAATAATGTAAAAAATAAAGTAAAATCAATTAATTTTACCATTTATCAGCCAGAAACAAAAGGAAATAATCTAATTTCCAACTTTCCCACAGTCCTTGAACAACTCATCGGTGACACTGTTGGGAAAATGAACCAAATCTAAGCTTTAAATCACAATATTCCCTCAAAATCACATTATTCTACATGTCTCAGTTACAAAAACTGTGTTTGCACCAGATTTCGTACAATAAAAATCAGCAAATTCCCCCATTTATCAGAACCAGAACCATTTCATTTTTTACTTTATTGACAGTCCTTGAACTGACTTACCTGTGATGCTTTGTTCTGTCAGGAAAATTAACCACATCTAAGCTTAAAACCGGGATATTTAATCAAAATCACTTTTATTTTTTTGCAAATCTTTGAATGAGACATGTAGAATGAAGAGTTTGCACCACATTCTGTAAAACAAAGAAGCAACACAAAGACACAAAGGGACCCCAAATAGACACAAAACAACCATAAAATGACCACGTAGTGACACAAAAAAACAACAGAGACACTAAATGACCACAACAAGACATAAAATGACCACAGTGACATAAGAAATACCATAGAGACACAAAACAACCACCAAGAGACACAGAATGACCACAAAGAGACACAAAAAACAACTTACAGACACGAAACAACCACAAAACATGTTTTTAGCTTAAGCTGCCAGTAGTGTTTCCACAGAGACTGAGAGGAAAACCCAATAAATAAATGCAGCATGGCTCAGAAACAGAGAACAGAGGAGCAGGTTGTTGGACGATACATCCAGCTGATGGTGGAACATGTTTCTACAGCTGATGGGCAGAGTAGAGAGAAAAAGTCTGGAAACATGGAGATAGTTCAATATCTACAGTATGTGGAAATAAAACGACCACAAAGACACAAGAAATTACAAAAACCTAGACACAAACTGACAGAAAATAGAGAGAAAATAACAAACACATGACACAAAATGACAAAATCAGCACCTGGAACAACAGAAACGACACAGAAACTAACAAAAATGAGACACAGAGTGCTCACAAAGAGACAAAAAATACTGCAAATAGTTTAAAAAAAAAGAATAATATAAATGCAGCACGGCTCAGAAACAGTGAACAGAGCTGATAGTGATACATCCACCATGGTGAAACATGTTTCTGCAGCTGATGTGCAGAGTAGAAAGAGAACGTTTTTAGAGGTTGTAAATATGTAAATAATGAAATATCGATAATCCGTAGAGCACCAGTTGTTTCCAGTGTGGGTGGCAAAACTGGAAAAGTGAGGCCACAGCGAGTAAAAACGTGACAGGAGCAAATAAAACACTGTGTTTGTGCAGCCTGCTCTTTATGCTGCAGTGAGCGGTCTGATGAATATTATGACTGCACTTGTGGAGATGATCAGAGATTAAGCTGCACAGCCGTCTTCACTGAAGTCGATTTATATATGTACATCTATATAAGGGGTTTTCTGTGGTCAGTCCTTCAGTCGGCTTCTGTGCATCTGCGACCTTATCATCTTTCTAAATCTGCACGACTCTGAAACCTCAAACTGTCGCTGCTTGAGACGCACCATGAAGCCTGGATGCTTGTTTTGTGAATGTAATTTACATGTGATTTATATACATATATATGCAGCGGTTTTATGGTTTCATGCGTTCATACAGGGCGTCTGTGTGGTGGTGAAGGCTTGAGTCTAATGTTTGGAGTTCTGCAGAAACCATGTTGACATCACTTGGTGACATTTTTTATTTTATTTGCAGCTGTCAGACAATTTCTGCACTTTTGCTTGAATTCAGTTCAAAATCTGACCTGATTTTTTTTCTATTTGCAACAAGAACACAACGTGAAAGCATCACAAAGAGCAAGAATCACACCAAATTATAATCATTTAGTCTCATTTAAAAATTCTTTACCTGAAATGTACAATTTGCTCAAACTAGATTTCCTAGAAAACAAAAAAAATTCTGCCCTCCTCGTTACCATCTATAGACCATTAATAACTCGGCTGTGAGCGACTGTCACGTGATAAAAATTCAGAGTTTTCAGATAAACTGCAGGAACGAATGACTGAGAAACCCTGCTGGTTTGAATCTCAAAAGAAAAGCAGACGATCAGCTGATGAGCTTCATTTGTGACATTTTTTGAGAAGCACTGAGCCAAAACGTCAGTTTGGAAAAAGACAGAATTCTGTTTTTTTAGAGACTTCTTAAGGATGCTGGTCAACCCTCTGAACCCACCGGCGAGTTTAAAAGACCGCGATCACACCGTTTATCAGCCAGAAACTGTAACAGCAGAGATGACTGTCAGTTTTTTTGAGTCTCCTTGAGCTGCTTGTTTGCGATAATCGAGATATTCCATATGTGTCTTAAACAAACTGTCCAACTTGCAAAAATACATTTATTACAAATGTTTTGATGCTGCTAATTTTTTTGATTTTTTTTTTGCAAGTTAGACCGTGTTCAGGAGTCTGAAACGTTTAAATACGTTTGTCCTTTTAGTACAAACCTGCCTCATGAAATAAATGTGTGAAAAGTGGCTTTCTCTTACATGTCTTATTTTTAAAAATGCCGTTTATATGAATCACATTCAATAAAATAAATCTGTGGTCCTTCTGTGGGACAATCAACCAGCTGGTAGCGACTCACCTGCAGCCAACAGTCATGGAGAAAAAATGCCTTGATTGTTGGTTAAACTGGGTTGAACTGCAGGAAGTGTTTCCATGAGTAGGAAAACAAATATAAGATGTAAATGGTTAAATGTCTGCAGTGTGTGGAGCCACCGTTCTTTTTCTTCTGTGGACAGCTGGAGAAATGTTGTACATGTTGATTCTAGTTGGTTAAA